TGTCGAGGGTACACAAGCTTTGCAAATCCTGCAGTCGACCGAAATCTGCACTTGTTGTTTCCGAACAGGATGTCTATTATGTGATTTTGATTGGACTATAGCATAAACTCGTTAGTCCAGCCAAAATGTAACTCCGGAATTCCAGCCTAGTTCGGCAAACGTGGAAACTGAGCTTTTATAGTCAGTTAACGCCCTTAGGCATTCTTTAACTTCTTTTGTGTAGTATACATCCACATTGTAACAAACAAGACATCACATAAGCACCATTTTTTAATTTTTCACCTCAGTTAAAATACAAGGTTGCATTGTGTGAATAATACAGTAAAATAAACTATTTCAAATTTCTGTAATTTAAAAAATAAATATATGTTTAGATTTCACATCATAAAAGCATAATAATTCAACAAAACATAGAGTATCAACTTTACAGAGGGTTCCATATAAATCATATTTTCACAGTAAGTTGTGCATTAACACAATTGCATGGGAAGGTGGCATTATGCTCCACCTTAACATCACTGAACACTGAAGTACTTCGCCTTGTAGTGTAGTGCACAATCAACCATACAGGGACTTTTGACCATGATGACCAAGTGATATGACCCACTGCATGCATTTTGTTCAGTCCTCATTTGTTTTTGCAACCAGGTACATGACATGGTCATATCTATACTGAGACAACTGATGATCTTTGTGATATATTTAGTTTGACCACTACAGATAAACCATCAGAGATGTGGAACCTTAAAAAAACCAAAGACCTCAGGACTCTTGAAAATATATCTGAGTGAGTGAGTATGGTTTTAATCCACTGTTACTAACATTCCAGTAATATGAATATTAACCCAGTCACGTTTCTCAAAACCACACAGTCATACTTCAGCTGAGTTGAGTTTGATCTAGTTCATTTTATGCCCATGATCTTACCAGCCTTGGCTTGGAATTCAACTTTCGTTTCTGATGATCAATTGAACTCTGTTTTGAGAAATGCATTTTGTTGAGTTTTCTCTGACTCGAGTGAAAAACTGGATTAACTTGACTTGAGGTATATGTTTCCTTCTAGAGCCAGGTACAAAAGATCATCGAGATAATGAAGTTGTACTGTATTACACGGAAGGAAATGGCCACAGGTTAGATCCAGATTTGCATAGGAACTAGATTATAGATACCCTGTACTTTTTATACTGATGTCAACACAAACACAATCAGTTTGTTAACTGAAGGTTCTCAGTGGGTTTCATGTAGGGTTCACAGTTGTTCAGTCAATTGTAACAAAATTCTAGACATATTGGTCCCAAACACCTAACTTGCAACTGTATAAACAAGCAAATAAACATTACAGAATGTTCAACAACAAATAATTAGCCTGAGAACAAGTATTTTTTACATCCACCTTTTATGTATAAAGAATGAACACTGAATGCCAGAAAATACATTGATTCTTTGGTTTGACAATTTGCATTTAACTCCTAAGTAATCAGTAAAAATGGCACAAGCCTACAAAATAATTTGAAGAATGACTTGTGTAGTGTGTACATCCCTTGGTAGGATTGGTAAAGGCAGAAAATGTTCCTTTAAGATGAATCTGTGCAATGTGACCATGGCAACAATGCTATGCAAAGATTGATGATAAATCAATTGTTCTCAGATCATGATTAGCATCATGTGTGAACCAGAAGTTGGTATTACCATTGATCACAACTCATGAGCTGACAGAATGACTTGACAATACTTGTTCAACAGCACAAACAACAACAAAATATCCTGCCATCAAAATGTCTTTCATAATCTAATGATAACAAACACAACAAATGATACAGTTTGAGTACATAGGGCAGATCGTCACAACGCAGCCACTGGTATTGGAGCATACATCATGTAGAAATCACTTTGCTGAGCATGCCATGGTCCTATGACAACATTGAAGATAACCCAGATGGATTTATCTAGGATAGCAAACTCAGTGCTTTTGGCAGGCAAATTTTGAAAAAATGTGATATTGTCCAAAACTGAATTATTTTAATGTTATTTTCATAAATTCTGAGGAATTGGATTTTGTAATTTAAATTGGGAACTTTTACTGTGATTTGCTGCAGGCTTGGGACTGAGTATTGTCCTCTGAGCAGGTCTTGATAAGTCCCTGCCAGAACACCCACATGCCATTCAGCCATAATGGTTTCTTTAACAAACAGTGAGTGAGTATGGTTTTACGTGCTTTTAGCAATATTCCAGCAATCTCACGGCAGGGGACACCAGAAATGGGCTTCACACATTGTACCCGTGTCGGAAATCGAACCTGGGTCTTCGGCGTGACGAGCGAACGCTTTAACCACCAGGCTACCCGACCGCCCCTCTTCAACAAACAAGCACATCCATGTATTTTTATGTTAATTATTGCATAATTGCAGGATTCCCAATATCACAGCGATTACCTTCCACAATAACCCTTGTGACTGTTTTCACAAAACAATTATAACTTTCTTTAACAGATTCAAGAAATAAAAATCAAGAAATTCCAATAAACTCCAGTACATTTGCCTGGTCGCCAAGACAACAATGATGATTTCACTGAGGCCAGACTCATTTAAACATAGTTCATGAATCTGCAACTCCAAAACATTAAAATATGAATAAATAATAAATGAAAAGCAGTGTTATCTTATGCCCCCAATCAGAAATAAGTACAAAAATACAAACCAAACTAATTTACTATCGCTATCAAACTAAATAAATTATTTATAATACTATGATTAAAACCCGTTGAAAATTTTTCAATTTAACAACTTCTGTCTCCACCTTTATTTCCCAACATGCTTAACATTTTGAGGAAATCAAAACAAATATTTGTAATGAGTCCTCTTTATTGTTATTTTTTCTACATATCAACCTGAAATTTGGGCCAAAGATCTGAAAACCATAAATTAGAATTCTACCTGGAACGCAAACAATGTATAATGAATTATGCTGCCCATGAAAGGATGTTTAACAGTAAAGCATTTGCAACAGTCAAGCCATTCACATATCAAGCAATGGAATAGTCTTCTCACAGACATTTCCAACATAAATAGCAGTATGTCATGGCAGATAAACCTTTAGGAATGTTCACATAAAGTATCTCAGCCCGGCATACAATGTACAAACATGACATTTCAGATGACATTTCCTTACATTGTCACAAATAGAACTTAAGAATTAATTATCAATTGGTTTTCCCATTTGATCAGAACTCAGGACAGAATGACAGGACCAAACATAGTCTTTGCTAAAGCTAGCATCAGCTGGTATTATTATAATACTCAATTTGAGAGTGATCCTATAAGGGACCGGTCATTTTTTATAGTGGTGGGCAGGTCAGAGGGACTTAGGGGAGGTTCACCAAAAAATATGACAGTCTCCAGGGGCGGGTAATAAATAATGTCATGAAAAAAGGTAAAAAGACATGGGGAGGGTCATCCAAAAATATGATTTTAAATATGAAATAAGCATTATGGGAAGGTCACTATTTTCAGTACATTAGGGCATCAAAAACCTGACTCACCCAGCCCTATGATAAATGTCTGGTCGTTAATAATTATTTTATTGCTACTCCACACACAGGAAATGAAAACTACATCAAGTTAGTAAGCAGGTTTTTGTTATGTTTTTTGTTTTTGTTTAACGCCACACTCAGTAATATTCGAGCAATACGATTGCGGTCTGTAAATAATCAAGTCTGGACCAGACAATCCAGTGATTGACGTCATGAGCATCGATCCACGCAATTGTGATACGGTGACATGCATCAACCAAGTCAGCGAGCCTGACCACCCGATCCCGTTAGTCGCCTCTTACGACAGGCATAGTTGCCTTAGTTTGCAGGTGTAGTCAGCTGTTACTGAGGGAATCAGTGAATGTTGTTAACATCACAGTCAACATTATTCCAGGTTGCTGTTGTACAAAGCGACGAGGTGATTGTAACTCCCATGCCTGAACATAGACTTACGACAGTCGTAGCGCTAAGGTTGTTTTGTACAACAGCACCCTGATTTATTAATGTTGCCTGTAGAGACATCTGGGGTAGGCAAACCAGTGGTGGATAGTAGAAATGAGATCCAAGCTGACAGGCACATTCTTATCACCAAGTATAGTTAGGAGGGGTTTGTGTAATGAACTTTGAGCATGCTCAAGGGTGGAAATATTATAATGGTAATGCTATTTTTCAGGGCATTATCATTTTCAGAAGCCCGAGGACTTCCATTACCATATTCGACGTAATAAGCGCCCTGCTCTTATAAGCGCTCACGGCGATATTTGCTAATATATTGGCTAGTGAACAATCCCAATTAGCACCCTTCCGATTGATCAATGGATACAGGACTTACTTATTCGTGTATAATACGCACTCGTGTGTTATATGCACCCTTAATTACGGGCAATTAAATTCTGGAGAAATATATCTGTCGTGTATAATACGCACAGACTTTTCTTTTGTATCATTTTAGCCTGTCAGCATTAACCATGAAATTTAAGATCTCTCAACTCTTTCACCAAAATTATATTCCAATAAGAGCCCCCTATTTCTAATTTTGAGAGCGCCCTGGGCGCTTATTACGTCGAATACGGTAACTGCCCGACTAAGGAGGGCAGTTGAAAAGACTGAGGGCTTCTGCAAATGATAATGCCCTGAAAAATAGCGTTACCGTTATTATAGCCAAAATGGATGGAATTTGTTATCAAATTGAAAGAAACAACTACATCAGTTTTGAAGCATTTACTGCAATCAACACGAATGTCACTGACCCACTTTTACAAATATGGAAATGTCATTACAAACCAGATGACATCACTATTGAACGTGACGTCACCTTTCCCTACCCAATGACGTCACCTAACAACGGGCATGATAATGGCCCGTCGTCAAGCAATATGAGATCATTATCAAGTTACAGTGGCCCGCTGATTTCCGATAGCCTGCCGGCGGTTTAATGATAATTCTATCCATTTTAGCTATAAAATAGGGTGTATGATTATGAATATTATTACAAATGGATTCTGTGAAAGGCCATTACGATTTTATATTTAGTGTAGTTAATGATTGGAGAAAAGATTATGTGTTAGCATACAAAATCTTTTAACTTGGTGTATTACTGAGAAAAAGTTCCAGTGAAGTGAATTCACTTGTCAAAGGAAGCAAGTTTATGAAGTGTGTAAATTATGACTGATGACTCATAAAGCAAACGTCTCAACGTTTCTTACATACATATATATATATATTCCTTTTGACGAAGATATTGTGCCAATGAAGCAGCTTTCTATTTTCTCGGTTTTCAACATTTCTTTTAGGAATAGATTGTTGGTGGTAGGTGTTAGTGTTGGAGTTATAGTTTTCATTTTTAGAACAATTGGTTGATCGATTAACCAAGAAAATAAAGTTTGTGCATAATACAAGTTTTGTATATTACCCCAATATGTATGATAATTCTATACATTGTACATCCCAATCAAGAAAACTGTAAATCAACTTGGTGATGACTGATGATGGAAACATTGTACATATTTTGTAGTTTTCTGTACAATATTCTGATTCTGTTTCTTACATGTCCAAATCTTCAACACATATTTGTGGCTGTGTTTTCCCCAACCGTCATCACATGTGGCAGTGGCAGGTCTGAGACTGGTGGGGGTGTTCTAACATTACCTATGGATCTCAATGACATCAGCCATATAAGCAAGGCCAGATCATTTTCTCAACTAGGTTTATGATTCCACCGACTCAAAAATACTGAAATGTGAAAAACATAAATAAATGGAAAGCAGTGGTTAGTTTATTTCGCCAACTAGAAAAAAGTAAAATGTTAAAAAAAACACCTCATTTACTGTCAATATAAATAAATTATTTACTGGTATAATAATTTTCTTACAACCTGTTGAAAACATATATATTAAAAAAAGTCCAAAACACAACAAATTAGGATGTAAATATTTGAAAAGGGAAATTGATTTTGTTTCGAACAACCAACCTGATTTTTTTGGCTAAAATAAATTCAGAATATGACATCTCCCACCATCATAGGAAAGCCTGGATCTGCCTCTGTTGTGATTGCGGTACTTGTATCTTACACACATTTGGTGTTCTATCTGCTTTACAGTTCTTCAACAGCACATTATCAAGCTGACTCACAGTACTTGTAAAACTCTAGTTCCCTATAACACCCGATTGCCGCACCACACTGAGTACTGTATTACTGGTTACTATTGTGTCTCCATCCCTCAAACACAATATTGAGATTCAGTACATTTCCTCTGTGCTCATGAGAAACATCTGCACAAGGCTCAACTCATACAGGGTGACAGACTCCCAGCACTGTGTCAGTTATACTGGGCCATCACAGGCTGCAGTGTGATTGTGTAGATTGGCAACCAAGCATATATTATAATATTGTACAAAAGGCATACTTTGATGATGAATCTCAACAGACTCATTTTCAGAAACAGTAGAATCAAATTGAACTTCCATGACACTGAACGATATGCAACTATTGGATAGCATCCTTAAGTTCATATATCAGTCCACCATATACTAGTATTAGAAATCCCTTGATGTACATCAGTTCTTAATGCTATGACTATCATTACGTTGCTAAAAATAATATATATAGTGAGGTAAGGTAGTACCTTTAAGCATTGATTTACGAACTTAAGAGTTCATGCATATGTGATAACAGCATTCGATCAGTAAATATAGCAAATATCAGTAAAAATTTGATCATGTTTCTAAACGATTTCATAAGTAGATTTCCTTCTTACTTTACATAAAAATCTTAAAAAATTAATAAGGTAATGTTAGCATATATGGAACTATGCAATTACTTTCTAATGTGACTACATTACAGTGTGTGAATCTACACTTTCTAGCCACAGCCACACATTTTATAGAAACGTTTATGCATGGAGAATCTCCAACTACAACAACAAACACATCCAATGTTCAGCATTAGAAATTGGCACTAGTCCTGTAGTCCTTGCCAAACTGCCAAATAGCTCAGGTAGCAGAAGGACTAGAAGAATTTTGCCATTTTTAAGGGTTTTGCTACATGTTATCATTATAAGGACTAGTGGACTAAAACTGTTAGTTTCTATCACTGATGCTGGTGAAAGTGCATCCCAACCATGTATTTGAAAATATCCAGTTTCCAGTACATAGTATACATGATTGAGTCTACTGTTTCTGACTGAGCAGGTATAGGATGTACAGGTGCGATGACCTGCCTATGACTGAGGTTGTTCCTGAGTGTTAGTGAGGTGATCGAGCTCCTCCTTGCTCTTGTCCGGCACCAGCAGTCGGAGGAGACTGGACAGCATCAGTAGTGATTCATGCTGACCCTGTGCAGGCAGGTAGCGTTTGTTCCACACCATCTTGTACATCTCCAT